TTTTCTAATTGGTTAATCTCTGCTCTTAATTTGGTTATCTGGCTTCGTCTAGTAACTTTAGGTTCCATTTTTTCTTGTTTTTCTAGCTGTTTTAATTGCAACATGAGATTATTTACTTGGTCTGTCTCCATTCCCTTGATGTGAGCACTGAGGGCAATAAATTTGCCCCTCAGGACTGCTTTTGCTATGTCCCACAGGTTTCTTTGTGAGGTGTTTTCATTTTCATTGAGTTGTAGGAAATGTTTTATTTCTTCTCTGATCTCTTCCATTACCCAGGCATTGCTAAGGAGAGTGCTGTTCAATTTCCATGTATTAGAGAAATTTCTGTGGTATGCTTTGTTATTGAGAACTAGCTTGATTCCACTGTTCTCAATAACAGTGTCGATCCCTTTGTATTTGCTTAAGTTCCTTGCATGAACTATGATATGATCTATTTTGGAGAAAGTTCCATGAGCTGCTGAGAAGAATGTGTACTGTGTTGTTTTAGGGTAAAATACTCGGTAGATGTCAGTTAATTCCGCTTGAAGTATGGCCTCAATTAATTCGGTAGCTTCTTTGCCAATCCTCTATTTGGTAGACCTGTCCTTTGGTGAGAGTGGTGTGTTAAAGTCTCCTAGTATTATCGTATTGGGATCTATTTTATTCTGTAAGTTTGAGAGCATTTGTTTAACATATCTGGGTGCACCAATATTTGGGGCATATAAGTTGATGATTCACCATTAATTTTTTAAATGAAGACTAGATATTTCACTTGTAACTCTATCAAATTATACGCCCAAATAAGCTTAGTTTAAAAACTGATGTTAAGTTCTGTGAGGACAATAAATGTTGTAAGTTATGAATAAGGCTTTTTTTGAAAATATGAGAATGATTAGTTTACTAAAATGTTCCTCATTCAGACAATTCAAGAAAAAGCTAATGTTATAGAAATATCTTTTCTCAGTATATTTTTTAAAATTTGTATCAACCACCATTTTTAGACACTCACCAAATTTGTATAAATCCCTAATTTTATGTCCTGTGGTTAACTATTTTTACTTTCTCTTTAAATATTCTTGTGACTATTTCCCCAATCAATATTTTTTCATGATTGTCTTTTATAGTCCAACCCTATATAAATGAATATAAAGATGCATAAAATTAGTGAAAATCCACATAGATAGTTGAAACAAGTTGTAAAGATATGCATAATTAAAAGAAATCCAATGTGTCTAAAAGAGATAGATAGGATTACCACTATGACAACAATACATATGAGCTTAGATAATGCTAAGTTCTGTCATTTTTTCCAGGTACCTATATAGATTTATGCTCTCATTTTTTTTCATTTTCCAAGACTCTAACTTGTTTTCACTCAGTGCCCTGACCCTACTGCCCTTCATCTTCTAACACAACCTTGTAGCTTTAAGGAAGCTACTTTTGCCCAGCTCACACCTGTAATCCTTAGGAGAATCAGGGCTGAGATCTGAGGATCACGGTTCAAAGCCAACTGGGCAGGAAAGTCCATGAGACTCATCTCCAATAAACCACCAGAAAAAGAAAAGTGGCACTGTGGCCTAAGTGGTAGAATACTAGCCTTGAACAGGGACAGCATCCAGGCCCAGAGTTCAAGCCACATGACCCACAAATAAAAAAAGAAAGCTACTTTTGTTCTTTTCCAGGTCATTAAGTCTAACAAGCTAATAATCACTAGATAATACTACATTTGAACCATTGTTCTGTTCTAAGAATCAATGATATTCTAGCCTATCACATCCTGTCCAAATCCCTCTGCATATATCTCATAATTCTCTAGAATTTAGCCCAATCCTATGTATCTAGTTTCATTTCCAGTTCATGACACTCCCAGTATGAACAACTGGTTCTCAATCTTAGCAACCAACCCCTTACCACCACAACGTTCTTCTCTAAGCCACATTATGCTTACTACATTCTATTTTTGTACTTTGGTCTGTGTTGTTAAATGTTCCTGGATTTCTTCTTTCTTCTAAATCTTATCTGCCTTTTAGGTTAACCTGGCATCTACTTCCTTCATACACCTCTCCCCAATCCTGCCAGAAATACTGACCTCTCTTTTCTCCAGGCCTTTACTACAAGTATATAAAAGCTTGAAGCTAAACTGTTGTAATTTTTCATTATATTATACTTTATATTTTAATTTTTCTTTATTTTATTGGTGTGCTTGTCCAGCGTTAATAATCCTAGATTGTCAATTAAGGGTAAGGAAAATCAATTCCTTCTGTCAAGATCATAGCATAGGACTTGGTACATAGATACTTACATAGTATGTGTGATCAGTTACTAGTGAAGTTACCAGTGCTTTCTTACATTTCTTAGCTTGCAGATTGAGAATGGAGGATGATGATTTATAGTCTTTCAAAGTTCATACCACCAGAAATCTCCATTGGGGTTATAGTTCATTGAGAATATTTATTTAGTATTCCTCTGAGTATTCTTTAAAAAAAATCTGTATTTCTTTATACACTTAAGCTTATAACCATTCAAAACAGCCCATTTGTTTGATCTTGGTAGAAAATGTAACTGTTGAAATGGCCTATTTATGGTGAATCAATGGTGCTGTAAATGTATTGGGAAATAGATATTGTATGGATAGAGGAACAATCTAAGCAAGAACACTGTCTAATAAATGTTTACATGCCATCAAGTCTCCAAACATTAAATATCATACACGATAGAATCTTTCTTGCCCTGTAATTTATCTCAATTTTTTTCCATTACTTTCATTTTTCTCTTTTAGCTTTACTCACAGACAAGCCTCCCAAGCCATTGTTCCCCATGGAGAATCAGCCAAGTGTTATAGATGTCCAGCTGGGTAAGTCCCCTTCTGGGAATAATAGATCCTAAACGTGCTCTCTGTTAACAGATGTGGAAAATTGCATGCGCCAGGAAAGGTTTATTGCCACTGTTCTTACATGCAAATTAATTTGCATTCTGCTCATTTATAACCCTGGAGTTCAGTGCAACAGCAGTTTAAGGAAATGAGTTTGTATTGCATCAGAAATGGCAATATTAATTTGTTACACTGGGTATTAAATGTGCTGTATGACAGAGCTTTTTAACTCAGTGATCGATAGATTTGTGCTGTCTTCCACTGGTGATTGGTACAAAAAACTTTTCGTACATGTCAGCAAATTTTTTTATTTGGAAGCATTAACTCCTGGTGACTGAGCACTTCCCAAAATAAAAGACAGTCCTCAGTGCAGCCTTTATCATAATTTGATAATATTATTTCCAATGAGACAATTCAGTGCTATTTAAAACTTGTTTTTAGGTTGGGATCTTGAATATTTATGAGTCATCTGATGTCAGAAAAAGGAGAAAGTAGATTTAGTAGTGTCACTGTGTTTGCACACACTCAAATAAGAACACAATGTGTTGTGCTGTGTTGTTGAGTCCCTACCAAGTACTGTAAGCTTGAGAGGCTTCGTAGGTTTTTTCAAATCATTGTCTTTAATATGAGCTATGTCCTTGAACATTTCTGAACTTTCACGTATCCTGGGTTTTATCCTAGTAATTTGAATTAATTCTAAACAGAAGGACCATGACATAACTTAGGATTTGTATTAAGGGATGTCTTAGGCTAACATTTGCTATATGATACTTTAAATTTGTGACAATAGTAGCATCCAGCATTTATATATAGCAAGGAGGATAAATTGACCCTATTATTTTGCCCATTTGGAAGTTTATGACCCAGCTTTTGATTTTTTCTAACCCAACATAGATGGTTAGAGATTTACTTTTGTCTTGAAAATAGGAAAGAATAAATGATATTTCTAAGAGCTTGTTTCTTCCTCTAAGAAGAAATATAGCACTGTGTAAATAGCAAACTCAATATATGAGTACTAAAGTATGTTAAAACAAAAGAAGAAAAGTAATAAACATATAGTCAAGTAGAGACTAAGGAAGCAATGATCATTCTGTAACTAATGTTGACGTGTTATGATTCTCTCCATAGTCTCTGCATTTATTTTATTTTTATTTTATTTTATTTTATTATTATTATTATTATTATTTTGTAATGACTATGCTTTTTAAAGCCACAATACAGATGTACTAACCTCAATAATATAGATTATTTACCAATAATGTTTGCGCATATTTCTCCATCTCAAACTGAGATTAAAAATATTTGCAGGGCTCTCTGTAGTTTTCCAGGCATTAAATGAACCGTTTGTTGATCCATTTGTATTACTTTATATTGGAGATTCCAATGGATAAATTATTGTCAGAAGAACAATTATATATTAAGGTGAGAAAAAATCATAAATATTCCACAGAAACTGTAAATGAATTTATGTTTGTGGTGTCTGCAGGAATATTTTTACCTTCTCCTCTACCATTAAGCATACTTATATTTCAACAGAAAAAATCTGGGAAGTATGGCTCCAGACAAAGAGTAGGATTTATATAGTGGATATATTTCATCTACTTTGACTGCCATTCAGGGCATCTGTAGTATTCCAACATAGGTAATTGTACCAAAAGAACAAACCAACACTGTCAGCCAAGAAAATCATCAAAATAATTTGCTCCTAATGTAAATTAGGTGTAAGGTTGAGCTTTTCTGTCTTTAATTTTGTAAAAGAACTGAGAAGGAACTTTGCTGACAGAAAAATGGAGATTTGTTCATTTCATGCTCAAGTTTCAGAAACAATACAAACAAAATCAGATCTTTGACATTTCAAGGACTATACAACTAGTTCATTCTGATTCTAACCTTTCCTCAGATTTATTTGGCAACATTACTTTACAAGGAGAAATTTGTTATAAATTGGTCTTATACCCCAGTAAAGGCAGCATTCGGAACACTTAGTGGAAGACCTGCAGCTGTAATGATGACATTTTTAAAACACTAGATGTTAAAGAAATTGATCTAGATGACCGCAGCTCACATCTTTAATTCTACATATTCAGGAGGATCGTGATTTGAAGCTAGCCTAGGCAGAAAAATCCATGAGACTCTTATCTCCAATTAAGCAGCTAAAAGTTAGAAATGCAGCTGTCACTTAAGTGTTATAGCACTAGCCTTGAGCACAAAAGCATAGGGACAACACCCAGGCATATATATATATATATATATATATATATAGAGAGAGAGAGAGAGAGAGAGAGAGGGGGGGGAGGGCGAGGGGGGAGGGAGAGAGAGGGAGAGAGAGAAGTTGAAATTTCAGAACTCAGTAAGATAATAACTTATTGAAATAATTTTCTTTCAGTATCTAAAGTTTATCAAGTACATTGAGCTTTAGACATCCTCAAAGTAGAATTGACATTGGAACTACAAAAATACATCAGTATAATCCAAATGATGTGTTATACACATTACCACATTTGGGTTTCTCATATCTAATAACTTAAAATTTGAAGCAATATTGTGGTGAAGTTGGCCATAGATCTTTCTGTGAACCTTAACATATTTTCATCCCTCTCTACTTGAGTCTGGGTTGGTCTTAGGGATAGGTTTGAGCAATACATTTACAGAATAATAAATTCTGAGATACTATAATCTGGGTAAAGAGATTTGAAACTTCTCAGTTGCTTTGTGTGCTCTGAAATTACTACTTGATGTTCAAGTGATATGGAGAAATCCTAGCCTAAAAGATAAGACATCATCTGGATAACATCCTCAGACAAAAAAGCACTAAGGTATCTAGGCATGTGAGTAAAGAAGATATCTTGAAAATATGTGCACCAGCTGTCTTTGGTTATGCTGTATAGATTGATGACAAATCACAGAGATTAATTCTTCTCAAAAGATCTGCTATAAACATGATGTGTAAAATGAATTCAAAATAAGGAATAGTTTATTGGGTAAAATGAGAAATTATCTGAAAAATATGAAATACTCAATTCAAGGTGACTTTAGAAAATAAGGATTTAAAAATTGTTTATGTGTTCATTTGAGAATGAAACTCTGCTATTCTTGGTATTTCTAAAGGCAATATAATAAATGAAAATTTCCCATAGAAATAAATACTTTTAGTACAGGAGTTGGCATAGGTATAGATATTTTGTTGTTTATCTAGAGGAAAATAAACATCTTCAGTTTCTCTCTTGTATAGTGTAATCCGATAGTCCTCTGTGAGGTTGTAGTAATTTGCATACAATTTTGCTGACATAGTGATGACAGTTTGCTTGTTGCTAAATAGTGTTCACATTGTAATGATGAAAGAAGATTAATATTAATGAAATGACCATATATTTCAGGATGATAAATACATTCTTAACAAAATAGTCTGAAAACTGTTTTTCTTACATAGCAAGCTTCTGAAACTAACTTGTCTATTTTAATGTACAATCTATACAGAAAAAAAGATTTTTTTGTTTCTTTTGTATGTTCTTCCCCGTGGTATATCCCTTGTTGTCACTGTATTTGATTCTGGTGCCCTGCATGTTGTATATACATTTTTCTAATTTGGGGAAATAACAAAATTCTGAAACAAGGATACAGGTTGACCCATTGTAACAATGAGACATACAAGATACTATGTTGAAAATGAACTTTACAACTTCAGGGGCAGGGAGAGAAGAGTTGAGGAGGTGAGGAGGGAAGGGATATTAGGGGAAAAGCAAAGGAGAGGGTACCAATGCTCAATAGGAAATGGACTCATTACCTTACTCATGTAACTGTAACCCCTCTGTACAGTATTTTTACAATAAAAGGGGAAAAAGCACATGTTACAGTTATATGAGTAAGGTAATGAGTCCATTTCCTATTGAGCAGTGGTACACCCTCCTAGTATATGTCTGAGACAAGCAGAAATGATCAGATAAGTTGATTTTGGGTGAAATGAACCCGAAGATAATGACTCAAATGGTCTTTCTTTCTTGCTATTGTTTCTAACATATTTGTAAGATGATTTCTTTGTTGCTTTGTATGTCCTTCCCCCATGCTATAACCTCTGTTTTCACTGTATTTGATGTTGGTATAATTGGGGAGGGGAAGGAAAAACAAATTGTTTAAATAGGGATACAGGTTGACCCATTGCAACAATGAGACGTACAAGACATTATGTCAAAAAATGAACTTTACAACTTTAGCGGGGTGGGGGTAGATGGGCAGGCATGGTAAAGGGAAACAAAGGAGGATGCAACAATGCTTGATAAGAAATGTACTCATTACCTTGCTCATGTAATTGTAACCCCTCTGTACGGTATTTTCACAACAAAAAAACATAATAACAAAAAAAACTTTCAAAAAAACATTCAATTTTGACCTGTTATCTTCTGTTTATTTCTCCCAAGGTAAGTTTAGCTTTAAATTTGAGATATAAACCTTTACTGTCCTTGTGCTAATTCTTTTCTCATAAGTTGGAGAGGAATGTTTTAATACTTTTGTAGAAAAAAATAACACTAAAATAACATACTGTATCTTTCATACCAAAAGTATTAAAACACCATGAGGATGTGGCCCACTTGATATATATCAGTGCTAGGAAGACCTGTACTTCATGTACATCTATTTAAAATGGTATTGGAATGCACTATAAACTTTAACACACTTCAAGAATCTTGGGAAACATCAATGAACAAATTCGGATGCAAAGAGTTGAGAAAAACCATTTCATTTAAATTAAGGATGAATCTGAAAATAGACTCTATTCTCACTGATGATAATTTTTGTCGTGAAACTTCCCAAGACTTCAAATTGGCCAGTAACTCATGTAGAAAATAAATATAAATACAATTTACTTTCTCTTTCTCCATCAAAAAGTCAAAAAGAAGGTCTAGGGGTCTTAGGCATATCAGAAAAATTTGCACCCATACAGTGATCCAACCTAATTGAATTACATCAGATCTTTCAGAAAGTCA